TGTTTGAAAGCTCAATTTGTTCCTCCTAGGCTTGGGCAAGGGGGTGATATGATATGGGTAGGTTCTCAGTGGATACTTTTTTGTTAATGGAACCAAGAGAGTTCTAATAAAAAGTTCACCAAGCTGTGTTCTCAGAGCACTTTTTCAAGGAACTATTTGCGGCCTGACACCATGAAGCAGTGATAGAGGGTCAAGTCCTGGGTAACTGGCAGCTTGGGCTAAGACAAGTATTCTTAGAGCAGTTCTTACACCAGTTTCCTCTAGCCTTTCCAGGAGGAGGTTTCAAGAGTAAAGAGAGACTTGGGTTTAAGCCTGACTGAGCCACCAGCTGTATAATCTTGGGCAAGTTACTTAACCTTTCTGAACCTCTGTCTTCTGGAAATTACAAATTTAGGAACTGATTGTGATCCTGTCCATCTGACAGACCATTCGTAGTTTCAAGATCTTTTTATAATTTTATGGCTCCTTCATTATTCAAACAGCTACTATAGAACTACCCATTCCCGACAAGCCTTGCTGTGGTACTACCTTTTCTTCCCTGATCAGTCTCTAGGAAACTGTGGCAACAGGGCTTGGGGTAAACTAAAAAATAGTGTCCCAGGCCTGCCAGAACCTTTCCTGGGAGAAGACCAGAGCTGAGACCCATGTCTTGTTCTTTATATGCAGCTTAGAGAATGACCCGTGCAACCTTCCTCTTTAACAGACTGCTGATAACTCTGTCTGTGTGTGCGCGCGTGTGCGTGTAGATGGGGCGGAGATGGAGGGATGTGTGACTGTGAGAAAGAGAGGAGAGCAGCGGGGAGGAAGGATGGGTTATGACTTAAGCCTCATCATGAGCAGCATTCTAGCTAGCCTGGGCACACCTGACAGAGAGAGACAGGGAAAAACATAGGTGTGAGGCAGGGAAGCTGAGCTGCTGCCTGAGTCGGCCTCACTCTAGCTTTCTGCAGGCCAGAGCCTGGCTTGGAGCCAGCCTGTTCCTGTCTCTAGCTGGGAACATGCCAGTGAGTGCAGCTTCAGATGGAGTGGGCCGTGGCTCCCTCAGTCCCCTGGGAAAGGGCGTGCTGTGGACTGAGCAGCCCAGACAATGAGGAAAAGCCCAAAGGCTCTGAGGCTGTGGGATGAAAGAATTTGAAGCTGCCAAGACTTGGGTGCAAAGGTGTTCAATTGCAAAGGTGTTGCTGGCTGAATGATGGTTTCAGGAACAAAGAATCTGTTGGGCGAGAGCACAGAAGAAGGTTTTGTCTTCCAGGACCCGAGCCTGCCTTGCAGCTCTCCGAACAGGCCTGATTTTGTTGTTGTTGTTGTTAAGTGCCGTTGAGTCGGTTCCGACCCATAGCGACCCTGTACAGGCCTGATAAGAGCTCTTTATTGATTGGCTGTCATGGAGCTGGTAAAGCCCACACAAGGCCTCTAGAGCTGGATAGAGAGAGACCCATATGGTTTTTCCTTATAGGTTAGTTCAACACCAGGAAAAGGCAGGACCCTCGCCAACCACTCTCCTTGTGAGCTCTGTCTACCCATTATCTCCACAACCAGGACTCAGTCTTGACTGATAACTAATGCCTTGTATGGGAAGTCAGTGAGCATGGGTTATAAGAAGCCTGTCACGAGTGATCTAGTATGAGAGATCAAATTTGTGAGGGCTTTGCTAGAAATTAAGAAAGAAGGGAGACCCTGGGACCATCAAGGGAGAAGAGCGGGAGCAGAATGTGGGACCCTACCCAGAGAACTGGCAAGCCAGAGATGGAGGCAGAGATGATGGCGTGGAGAGAGGAAGCAGCTGAGAACTCTAGACTCATAGAGGGAGAGGGGCTGTGTGCTGGTGGCCGGGGGGCAGGCTTGTAGGGTGTGCCCTTTGGTGTTTGAATGATTGTATATTCTGTTTTGGTATACATTGTACATCAAAACAGAAAACATACAGAGGGAATAGAAGCAAATACTGTTGACTGATGATGCATGCAGGGGATTGTATCATTGCAATGAAATGAAATGCAATGAGTGTAAAACTGATGTTCTCCCATGTAAACTATCACTCAATTCACAATAAAAATTTTTAAAAAAAAGAGGGGGGAGAAAGGAGGGAGGGAGGGAAGGAGGAAATTAAATGATGCCACATTCAGGTTATCTTCCCTCCTGTGCCAGTGAGCTCTCCTAAGTGGGAGGGAAGACTGAGGTGAGTACAGTAGCCTTCTAACTACACACAGCAAACAGGTCCCTTACCTGTGCCACAGCCCACAGAACTGTGAACAGAACTTCAAGGGATCAGATCCACCTGAGATGTCAGGAGTTGGGCAGTACCCCTGAGTGTTTACATGGGCTCCTCCTCCATCAGGGATTCACTACTAACCTGGTTTCCAGACTTCCAAATTCATTTCGTGAACTCTTACACATACATCAAAAGTGCAAAACTCTTACACATAGTGCAAAAGATCCTATTTCAACCTTCCTCTCCACTCCAGACAGACTCCATTGTACCACCTTATGGGGACCCTCACACATTTCTTGTGGAGCACTTAGCATGTGATGGTGTTACCTAGTGACCACATAGCCCAGAGTTTCACTTTATTCCTGATTTCAGGTACTTGTTATTGAAAATAAATTCTCACAGTGTTCTGAAAAATATAGCCTTGCCAGATGATATCTGCCAAAGAGTTCCTTTGTCAGACCAGAGGTGCTGATTTAGGAGGATAAAAATAATAGGCACTGGATGGATCTCAAATATATTCATGCATGCAACAACCTGGTTCAGACTGTTTCTGGAGGCCAGGGACCAGTTTTCCCCCTGCTCCCTTTATCTAGCACTGTGACAGGCATAGGGTAGCTGTAGCTATACCACATGATATAATATTGCATACTTGATTGCACTGAGTTTCCAAAACAAAGTCCCTGTGTTGGGACTTTTGCCCTTATTTTATAGAAGAGAAATTTGGGCTCAGAGGAGTTAAGTAACTTTATTATGAGCAAACAGCTAACAAGGGGTGGAGCTTGAATATAAATCAGGTCTTCAGTTCTACAGTGTATACTGATCAGCTCAGTTCAAACTCAGGACTGTCCTGAAATTATTGAGTCAGAAACTAGAGATGCTTGGGAGAGAGAAGATCACTTGGGTAATTTTTGAGACCAGCTTGACTCATATTAGGATTATAACTGGCATTCAGTTGAATCTTCATTTGGTGCTCAGGGGCACATTTTATCCTCTTTAAGTATTCTTCCAAGACGCATTAGCTTACCCTACATCTTTTGCGGAGCTTTTGACTTTAAACAGGCATGTGTACAGATGGGGGCAGTCATAAACTGCAGAACACCAGAACTAGAAAGAGACTGTTTATTTTAAGCTCCTTGTTTTAACATGAAGAGATCACAATCAAAGGAGACTAATAGCTACCATATATTGAAAGTTTTATTTTCGGGTGATGGGGGGCAACATTTCACTTAATCCCTAGTTGACAGATGAGGAAATTGAGAAGCAAATTGACATGCCACCTGATCAGCCTGCTCCAAAGCATGTGCTTGCTCTCAGTCCGCACACCCAGTCGAGGTCTTTCCTTTGAGGTGCTGCGGGCCCTGCCTCAAGTTTCCCCACCCCACCCCCCACTGACCTGCAAATAATGTCACTGTTGTCCTTTGCACTGACCACCCTCCTGCTCTTAGATGCAGCCTGTTTCTGGGATTAACAAGAAGCTGTTCTTCCCAGTGGTGGTGGTGGTGATTTTCAAAAGTGTGAAGTAAGTGTAAAACATGATATTCTCAGTAAAATGCCTTCCTGCTCATACGTCAGAATGATACCAAAATTATTGATTTGGAGCAAATAATAGTTTGTTTATGCAAAGGTAACTCTGGTTCTTCTATGATAGTGAATTTGGAAACTTACAGGGTCTGGATGACTGAATAATGGCTGAGTTTCACGGGGCTGAGCTCGTACTGACATTCTGGTGGGGAAGCCTGATGCCCCCAGAAGAGAGGATTCTCAGAGTCCTAGTGCACTACAGAGGATCCAAGCCTCAAGTGAATGGGCATGCTTAAATCAAGCCTGAAGACCCAAGCCCATGAATAAATTACTGAACCTCTGAGAGTTTCAGTTAATATGCCCACACATTGGCACTGCAGGGTTGTGGTATGATATATATGAGAATGTCCAGCACAGTATTTTGGTTAAGTTTCAGAACTTTTATCAGCCACTTCCTCTCCATCAACAACCCCTGTTCTTCCCCCCCAAACGGTATTATAAGACTTCATTATATTTTAAGATGAAATGTGTATTATTTGTATTATTGTTGTTGTTAAGTGCTGTTGAGTCAATTCCGACTCATACCGACCCTGTATAGAGTTTCCAAGGAGCAGCTGGTGAGCTTGAACCACTGACCTTGCAGTTCAAACAACTTTGCAGTCTGACGCATTAGCCCACTGTGCCACACCAGGACTCCATGTGTATAAGAATATATTAAATCATCATTGAAAATTCTAGATAGCAGCAGACTCTAGGATATATTAGAAAGTACTCCCTCCTTCCCTTCAGTCCCTAAAGTGTGCTTATTGGACATTTAAAGTGATAGCATTTGTTTTTCTTTGGCTTCTTGTTTATTTGCTGAGTACTTACTAAATGCCAAATCTCTATCAAGCATGGCACTGGATCCTAGAGTCCACAAGCTTGCAGGACAGATATCTTATTTGCCAACACCGAGCATCTAGTGTGGAGCTGACAAAATGAAAGGCCTTGAGCTGTTTTATTGGGTGCCAGTGAATATTTACTCTCTTCTGAGATTCTTCCTGCTTCATGGTTCTACCTTTAAGCATGCATCTAAGGAATATGGCCCCCCTCCGATCCCACTGACTCTAGGAGCTTGACCCAAGGGATTGCTGGGGGAAGAGGATGCAGGGGAAGGGCATGGCACAAGTCTGTTGGCCTGGTTTCAAATTTGCCATGGCTTTTCCCTTACTCTGGAAACCTGGTGCCTGACTCTGAGGTCCAGATAGAAAGGGATCCTAGAAGGACTTACCTGATGGTTTATCTGTGGAGGACGGGAAGCTGGTGAGAGTTGGCATGGTGGGCAGAGTGGGTGGAAGCACCTTCAAGTTCTGGTCACTCTGGATCTCATTCGTGGAGATCTGGTTGATGATACGGTTGTAGGTGGGTGGCTGGTAGACCCGAGGTGGTGTGGCAGGGGGCGGCTGGGGGACGGGTCTGGCAGCAGGCACCCGCTGGCAGTGCTCCTCAAGCTGTGCAATGATCTCCGACTGGTTGTGGGCCAGCGTGGCCAGGTGCTGGTATTTGTGCTCCAGGTCTTTGTACTTGCTGGCCAGCTGGAGCATGTCGGCCGTCTGGTTGAGGATTCTGTTCTCCAGCTGGGAGAGCTCCAGTGCATTGTCCCGCTTGCGGATGATCTCATGCAGGAGCTGCATGTACAGCTGCGTGACCCGTGAGTTCATGTTGCGACTCTCTTTGCGTAGCAGCTTCACCTCACTCACGATGCCGCCGTCCACCTCCACCAGCTGCTGCAGCGTCTCAATCTGCCGCTTCTGCTTGAGCAGCTCATTGTTGAGTAGCTCCAGCTCCTGCTTGTGCACTCGGTTCTCCAGGAGCACCTCAGGCTCCTTGGAGTTGACGCAGATGGCACCTGTGACACGCTGCTGGGGCACAATGAAGGTGTAGGTACACTTGTCTGGGGACTCACCGGCCCGCTTGTACCTGTTCAGGTAAATAAACTCTCTTGGCGTGCCCTCCTCAGTGCCTTCAAAATCGTTCTCCTGGCTCACAGCAGCTCCCACAGCAGCCAGCAGTCCCAGCCACCAGCATGTCACACACAGCGGCCTCATGGTCCTTGCAAAATGGTTTTTCTTTGTGAACAAAATCTATGAAAACCTGAAAGTAAACAAAATGAGAGAATCAGTGATGTCCTCATAACTGAACTGCCTGTGGCCTCACTTTCTCTACAGGGAGATCTTTTTTTGAAGGCAGGAGGCTATAGCCCTGTTGCTCCTGAAGTCTGCTCCATGCCATGCCCATAGTCCTCTTGCTGTACTTCCATCCTGCAGCCTGAGAACCACCTTGGGGCTTGAAGCTGGGACGGGGAGAGTAGAAGAAGGGATGCCTGCCCAACCTCTCTTCTCCTCCTGCCTCGGACTCCTCAGATTGTTGGCTCCCATTCTACACTTTCTTAATCCCCTGGACTTTCTCTCTGTGACTCCTATCACAGTTGAACAATAGTAGTTCTTTTTGATAGTGAGTTCTTCTGTTGGACTCTTAAGCTCCATGAGGCCAGCTATTGTGTGTGATTCACCTTGTATCCCTAGGATGTTGTCTAAGCAGGCTTGTGGCAAATATTTGTTAAATGAGTGAATTGCTAGACACAGCACTGAACGTGCTTGGTCTGTAGTGGGCCATTATCAGTGGAAGGATGTGTCCTCCGGTCACATGGCTTTAATCTGTGTGCTAGCCAAGCTACAGAGCCCAAACAGGAACAAACAACTGAGCTCTAATAAATCCAAATATTTGCAACAGTCAGTAACTGCATAGTCCTGATCCTTGCAACGTGATCAAATCAGATGGGAGCAAAAAACAATACACATGTTTCAGTTCTATTCTTGGACGTTTGTTCCTTCACCAGATCTCCATTGAACATCTGTTGTGTGCCAGGCAGTGTGCTAGCTGCTAGAGCTACTGCTGCAAACAAAACAGACCCAGCCCTGCCCTCAAAAGGCTTACGCATTATCATACACTTTGTAAGTGCCATGAAGAAGTATCATATGCTATGAAAGAATATGGCAAGGGAATTGCCTAATCAGAGGGTTCAGGAAAGCTTCCCTGAAAAAATGACCTTTACACTGACCCTTGTAAGATGAGTAGGAGTTAGTTACGCCTAGAGGGAGGGGACAGAGGGAGGGGATGGGTGTACGCAAGAACCCTCCTCTTGCCTACTCAAGGAATTGCTCCAGCAATTCTCCCATCTCTCTTGCATGATCACATGTTTCCTAGAGTCATGCAGTTGTTTCTCTGTACTTAAAGTATTCTTTTGACATAACATCCCATCTCCAGCTACTGTTTGTCTATTTCTTTGCTCCACTTTTTAGCAAAACCCTCCAACATTTGCCTACGCTATTTCCAGTACTTCTTTTCCTAGTTTTCTCTTGACCTCACTCCCATCAGAACTTTACTTCCTCCCATCCATTACAAGTGCTCCAGACAATATAACCTCCATTTTCCAAATCCAATGGCCTTGTTCTAGGTCCTCAACAGTGTGGGGCACTGGTAATCATTCCTTTCTTGAACTTCTTTCCAGGACACTACCCTTTACTGCTCCTTCATTCTCTACTGCTCACTCATTCTCATATTCCTATCCTCTCAGTGCTCACAGGCCCAGACTTAAGTCTTCAGACTTTTTCTTTACTTTGATCTTCTCCAGGTTTATGACTTTCATGACCTTCAATCACTGGCAACTTCTACGTTTCCTTCAGCCCATACCACTTTCCTTGACTGCAGATTCATACATCCAACTGCCTTTGTGACATTCCCACTCAAATACTTAGTAGGCATTTCAAACTTAGTTTTTATCCAAAAATGCAATTCTGGTTTGCCCCACACCTTCATCCCAATCTGTCATCCCACAATTTTTCCCATGTTAGTGAATGGTGGTTTGTTAAGTGCTATCGAGTTGATTCTAACTCATAACGACCCTCTATATAGGGTTTCTGAGGCCATAAATCTTTGCAGGGGCAGACAACCTCATTTTTCTCCTGTGGAGTGGCTGTTGAGTTCAAACTGCTGACCTTGTGGTTCTCAGTCCAGTGCTTATCCTACAGAATCACCATAGTCCCTAGTGATTGGTTGCTGTTAAGTTCTGTTGAGTCGTGCTGTTGAGTCAGTTCCGACCCTGTGTAGGCTTTCCAAGGATTTAAATCTTCACAGGAGCAGAAAGCCTCATCTTTCTTCTAAAAAGTGACTGGCAGGCTCAAACCATGAAACTTGTGGTTCGTAGTGCAGTGCTTATTGTATGGAGCCACTGTGCTCTATTCTTTTAGTTCCTTGATTCCTTTCTTTCTTTTGTATCCCACATGTAGTTTACCACCAAATTATAATAGCAGTATCCTAGAAATAGATTTCTACCATTTCTCTCCACCTCCCCTGCCACTACCCTAGCACAACCTGCCTGCGCTTCTTGCCTGGACTATTGCAGGAGTCTTCTCACTTGCTCCTGCTCTTGCCCACTCTGCAGTTGATTTCTCCACACAGCATTCAGAGTAGTCACATCAGCAGTCAGTTCGGATCACTCTTCTATTCAGAATACCTAACGTTGCCCCATCTCAGAGAAAAGCCTCATTACCTTTCTGACCTCATCTCTTCTTTCCTCCTAGATCATCCCCCTCTAGCTACACTGGCCTCCTGGATGTTCCTGAAGCTCACCATGCACACTCATGACTCAGGCCTTTGCATTTGCTGTTCTGTTTAGAAACATTTCTCAATTTCCTTAGTGCTTGCTCCTCTGCCGCTTTCAGGTCTTTGCTGCATTGCCACTTCTCAAGTCAGCCTTCTCTGGTTATATAAAACTGTGACCTCCAGAGTCCTTATCATCATCAGACATGCACCCTCTGCCTCTCTGCCACACCTCTCCTAGAATGTAAGCTCCATGAGGGTAGGGGGTTTGTGTTGATCACTCTGACATTCACTTTGCCTAGCACATGGCTTGGAAGGTGCAGGAATTCAGTAAATATTTTGTTGAGTGAATGAAAAGACACACTCACTAAGAGTTCCTCTAGAGGAAGCTACACCAGGGCCACCAGGGAACCCATGGGACTGATTTCCTGAGAAGGGTATGGGAGCTGCACGGAAATTTATCAAAACAAGTTTATGATACTTATTAGCAACATCAACTGTTGTTGACCCTCAGTCAGGCATTTTGCAAGTGTTTTCTTATTTTATTTAAGCCTCACAATGGCCCTTTTAAGGTAGATACCCTGGTTGTTTCCATTTTACAGATGAGGAAACAGATTCAGAGAGGCTTAAATGACTTTCCCAAGATTACATAGCTGGAAGGTGCTAGAACCAGACTCAGCCCTGGTCTAAAGGGACTTAAACCCACAAACTGTTAATGACTACACAGAAATGTGCTTAATCTGGATTTTAGTAGTATTAGATCACCACTTTGTGATTTTCACAATAGTGAACAGTCAACCATTAGCTGAATAGTTGAATGCAAACTGTCTGTGCCACCCCAGAATCTAACAACTGTGGCAAATGACATGAAGGTTTTGTCTTCCCAGGCCACTTCTGGGGCTTTTCAAGTCCCAGCTCCACTTTGTGCTAGTCAGTGAGTAATTGCAAAACATTCTGTGCTCCACCAGACCATGCTGAGCTATGTTTCACTTAAATGACAAAGCCCCAGAATGGTTGAATGGCCAGCTCAACCTGCACGTGCCTCTGGTTTGGGTTCTGCTACTAGGTAGGACTGCAGTGACGTCAGTGGAAACCAGGCTGAGTTTGTCAGTGTTTGCCTGGTTTCCAATGCCACTTTGGCTGCTCCCGTGCTGGCAGGGCCTGCCTGAGAACAATGGGGAGAAGCCGCCCCTCCTGGCTAGGGCGGGCCTGTTGGTCTGTTGCCTTCTGCAGAGTGCTCACCTGCCACAGCTGGTGACAAACACCTCTCTCTGTTGCTTTGTCCTCCACCTTGGCCAAGAAACTGCCAGAGAGGCCCAGGAAGGCAACTTGGCTCTTGGTAAATGTTGGTTTCCAAACCTTCCCAAGCCTCAAGATCCAGGAGGACTGCACTGTTTAAAGTTGAGTTCTTCCTCTCCCAGGTAAGGAACATGGGAGCACTTCAGAAACTAGAGATTGGAGTGATGTGACTGGGAAATGATAACAAGGACATCAACAAAGGTAACAATACAAACTCAATAAAAGTACTCAACATCAAATACAATAATAGGTGTTGAGTACTTTGACAGTCTCCTTGAACCCTTACAGTAACCCAATGAGAAGGTGCCACATTATCCCATTTTACAGGGGACTGAGTCACCTGATCCATTCACAAGGCTGGGCTCTGACCCAGGAGCTCTGTTGGCCTCACTGCCCAGGCCCTGAAGTAGCCCATGGGTTAGACTGGTCCTTGTTTGTCTTGGTATCCCTAGCATCTGACACATTACCACACACAGGATGGGAAGGCAAGAGACCAGCAAAGGTCATTAATACACTGTGATGGATTTAAGGAGTGTTTCTTGTGATTAGATTAAAAAGGAGACCAGACTTGACAACTAGCATTTAGACTCCTGCAGGTTTTCAGGTTTACAAGGCCCTTTGGGTTACATGGTTTCATTTAGTTATTATTATGTGTATTTTGAGGTTGAGGAAACTGAAACTCAAAAAGGTGGCTGATAACCTGCTTATAGTAGTGTTGCTAGTAGTTGACAGTCTTAAAGTGCAAGATTCTGGGTCCTCCTGTAGGCCTGACTTGGAGCAGATTGAATTGTACAAAGGAAGGGCACTGTGCTGGGCACTTGACATTCTGGGTTCCCACATAACCCAACAAGGTTGTTATTTCCCTATTTTGTAAAGACAGACTCTGAAACCTAAACAGAGTTAAGTGACTTGCTCTGGAACACACAGCAGGTAAGGGGTAGAGCTGGGCCTAGAACTCAGTTCTGTCTGACACAAAGGGCCATGCTCTTTGTGTTGCCCTTGGCCTTTGAGGCATTTGTTTTCCTTCAAGATTCCAAATACCCCCCTCTCCCCCACCCCCTAGGTATTTGCTAGCTTGGTAGTTCTTACTGGGCAGTAATGAGTTTGTTTACTTTTGCTCTCTTGATATTTATTCAACTAATTGCATCCCAAGAGAAATAACCCCCCAGCATTCCAGCCATCCTAGGCCTGGA